AGGCGTCGTCCCACATCCAGTAGGAAGAGCACCACTTCATTTGATTGTAGAAACACTGCAACCTCTCAACTCTAGGCACCAAGCCACCCCCTACCGTGAGGCCCCACACCAGAACACCCTCGGGCAGCGTCAAGGCACCCCTTGCCCGGGAGTCTACATTGCTACAGGAAGTTTTAGGAGTCTACATCACCACCGGAGTTCCGAGAGTCTACACCGCCACCGGAGTCCTAGGAGTCTACACCGTCATGGGAGTCCCGGGAGTTTACACCGCCACGAGAGTCCCAGGGGTCTACACTGCCACAGAATTCTACACCACCCCAGGAATCCCAAGAGGAAGTATCATGCACCCCTACACTCGTCTGCTCAGTGCATAATGCCTCTACCCACCATGAGGCAAGCCTGGACACTATCATGAGAAAGCCCGACATCTCCGAGACAGCTCCACAAGCCTTAGGAGACCACACTCCGAGACTAGAGACGTCTGACTCCTTTGTGCCGACTCCATGGGAGCCCTCCGCATCCTCGCTACCACCTACTATAAAAAATTATAGACTATACGTGGATGGGTCCTCCACCAAAGAAGACGACGACGCAGGACTAGTGTTGATCAGCCCACATGACCCTCCACTCAAGTACTCTGTCTCCTTCCACTTTGCAACATCCAATAACCAGTTGAATATGAGACCCTCAAATCAGGCTTGAAGCTCGCATTGGAGATGGAAACCCTATGCCTGACAGCCTACAGTGACTCATAGGTGATAGTCAACCAGGTAAAGGGAGACTCCCCTTGGTATCCGTACCCAGTGCCCCAACGCCTAGACATCGGTGCCAACCAACACTCCAGCACCCAGTGCACGTACCTATGTACTGTTGTAGCTCAGGCCACTGCCTACCTAGTTGCATTGCCTAGACCACATGCTGCAAGCGTTGCCCAGACCGCTCAGCTCTAAGGCGTAGCCCACAATCCTCAGCGTGCACACTAGTGCTCAACGTTTAGCACCAGCCAACGCCAGCACCTGCTAGCCTGCGTCGTCCATGACGACTACCCACTAGTGTCTCTCTCTCCCTCTAGTCATGGTGTTGCCCAGTTGGCCTACGGTGTCTCTTTCTGTCGTCCACATCTTTAGCGCCACTACACCTATACCCAGCACTCCTCGACATCCATGCCCAGCGATGGCCAGTGTCCCTCAATGTCCATGTCAAGCGGCGGCTAGTGCCCCTCGACATCCGTGCCCAGTGTCTCTCAACGTCCGTGTTCAGTAGCGCCCAGTGCCCCTTGTTGTCCTCACTTAGCGGTGTCTGTGTCTCAATCTCTAGCTTAGCGGCTTTCACAAGAGTCGTCAGAAAGCCTTGCCTATTTCTGTTTCTGCTCTCATGTAGGTAGCCTGTATCTTCAACTTAGCGACTCTCACGAGAGTCATCAAAAGTTTGGTCTATCTTTACTCTGCTCTTAAGCAGACAGTCTATATCCCTAGTTTAGCGGCTCTCACAAGAGTCTCCAAAAAATTGGCCTACCTCTGCCTCTACTCTCACTCAAGTAGCCTATATCTTTAGCTTAGCAGTTCTTACGAGAGTCACCAAAAGTTTGGTCTATCTCTGCTCTGCTCTCACGCAAGTAGCCTATATCTCTAGCTTAGTGGCTCTTACGAGAGTCGTCAAAAGTTTGACTTATCTCTATTTGTGCTCTCACATAGGCAGCCTATATCTCCAGCTTAACGATTCTTATGAAAGTCGCCAAAAGCTTAGCTTAGCTCTGCTCTCCTCTCACGCAGGTAGCCTATATCTCTAGCTTAGCGGCTTTCACGAAAATCACCACAAGCTTGATCTATCTTTGCTCTACTCTTATATAGACAGCCTATATCTCCAGCTTAGCGACTCTCACAAGAGTCGCTCAAAAGCTTGGTCTATATCTACCTTTACTCTCACGTAGGTAGCTTATATCTCCAGTTTAGTGGCTCTCACAAGAGTCGCCAAAAGCTTGACCTATCTCTGTTTCGCTCTCAAGTAAGCAGCTATGTCTCTAGCTTAGTGGTTTTCTCGCGAGTCCCCAAAAACTTGGTCTATCTTTCCTCTGCTCTAAAGTAGACAACCTATGTTTCTAGCTTAGTGACTCTCACTAGAGTTGCCACTAGCTCGGCCTAATTTAACTTGTGCTTATATGCAAACAATCTCATTCTCTAGAAGCTCGCCTTGAGAGTTGTTGCTTTCTCATGAGCCAAACTCAACTACAGCCTTGTGCCCAGGCCTCTCTTCCACCAAAGCTCTCGATACCTCGTTGAGTTTGAGCATTCTCAAAAGTACGAAAAAGTCATAGCCATTTGCAAATTTTTAAAGTCAAAATGTCAGCATGACCAAGCATACAGAAGAGAGAATTTCACATAACAACGGGGAACCATAGCAAAGTCCTCTATTTCGGTATCGATGATACCTTCAAGACCCCGAGAGCTGACATCCAAGGGTGTTACAAACCTCCAAAGCCTCTCCTTAGCCAAAATTCACATCCTGTATCAGGGACACCAGACCATTGCTATAATTAGGATAATTATGTGAAGCACTAGGAGTATCAAACCCCGTCTTTTGAGAAACAACAGGACTGTCAGATCTCAGCTGGAAAGTACTGGGGGCATCAGATCTCACCCCTTCTAGGAGGAGAAAAAATCACCATCCTAGTGACGTAGAAAGCTTTCGTCGTTAATCCATCAACCACGTGATCACCTGTGAAAGAGAGAATTTTCATAATCCAAAGACATTATCAGTTTGTCTGGGTCCTCTATGGTGTCGCATGTGGCACCACCCAATCTTATGCCTTCCCTGGTGTTGCCCAGGTTTATACACATGGCGCCACTCGCCAAAGCATCTCCATCTCTACGTGTCAAATCGTTCATTCTTCTTTTCATCCTTTCTCCAACAATAACGTTACCAAATAGAGAAATAAGCTTAAAAAATGCAATGGAGTGGAAAGTTGAAGAAGCCACTGTATGGAACAAGATATCTGTTCTACCCAAAGGAAGAAGCCCATTCATGTCCTTAACCCTCAATCACTAGTAGGATGAGTCCAAAATTATTGGATCAGACCCAATTAATTAAATTAACCCAAACTAGCTACAAGATAGACCAAACTCAGCTCATGGATTCGGCTTAGTCTAAAGTCCAATGAAATCAAGACAACTTTTAATTGTACTTACCTTTTGTAAATTCCCGAAGATCTAATACCTTTACCCTCACGTCACTGTCTCAACTAAGACTGTGTGCCTATAAATTGTAAGCTATCTTTACATGAGAGACACCTCTCTACACACCCCCACACATAACTTTTCTCTCTCCTAACTATTTTATCCCTCGCAGGACTAACTATTGCTCTCTCTCTCGTTCACCTTGCTTAATCCATAAAAGGTCTCTCAACTACCGTTACCGTTTCGTAGAGTTGAGTATGTCACCCAGATTGAACCACTATATATCTGCGTATTGACTCGATATTTACATTATTGTTATTGATTGCTCTATTAATTGTCTATTAATTAAATATTATCACACACTTGACTATTTATCTTGTATAAGACCATTTTACGCAACATCAAATATGATAAATAGCAATGATTCTAATAATAAACAGTCACGGAAGTTACACACATCACTCAATCCATCACTCACAACGAATGGCCTCAATCACCCATCAATTTGGATGTTGCCGCCATGTCACACCACACCGTTCAAGGGCTCCCCCAAGGTCTATGAGTCGTCCAATTGTTGCAAGTCTTTTAGGTAGCAAAGCAAAGAAACTCTGTTTGCGTTGAAAAGTAGGCGTGGGGAGAGTTTGTGTAGAAACATTTCCAAATAATGAGACAAATGGTTATAGAAATGATGATAGGTATGGTTGAGAATATAATATGTGATAAATTGAATATTCACGTTAGATTAATTTAGTATTTAGTATTGGCGACTTGACTATAGTACTTATAAAAAATTTTTGGTATTATATCTCTAAAATTTATTATTTTTAGAGATGTTTCTATAATTTTTATAGGTTATTTTAGAGCAATAAAAATTTATTATTTTTATGAGTGATTTATTACTTTTATGAGTGTTTTTACCATTGTTATAAATGTTTGTCACTGTTATGGTAATTATTTTTATTACCACTGTTGTAGATGTTTTTATTAGTATTGTGATAACTATTTTTATTATTTTTTGGGTACCACAGCAATTATAAAAACATATGCTATAATGATAAAAGTACCTACAAGTATAATAAATTTTGATATGGTACCGAAATTTTACTTTTTAATACCACAGTCAAGTCCAAGAATTTGATCACCGCACCAATTTTTTTTAGTATCATAACTCAATTTATCACATTTGTGAGTCTTTTTACCACTGTTGTGTTACCCAAAAAATGATAAAGATAGTTGTCACAACAATGGTAAAAATATCTATAAATGTAATAACAATACCCATAAATATAATAAAAATATCAACAAATGTGATAATAATACAATCTTATTTTTTTTACATTGTAAATATTTGATCAAGAGTAATACTATTTTGATTTAAAAATTTGACCTCATTTACTAACCTGCTTCACGATGATATTTTGGTTGATTGTGAGTCTCATTAAACATTAAAATTTGTTTTTCACCTAATCTAATGATTTTAATAAAATCACATTATAAAGTGCATTTAGATTCAAATAAAATTAATATTTTATCAAAGGATGCATAAACGATATTGAAATTCCATTTATTTGGCATCATATGAAAAGATGATTTTTTACCTTCGGTCTTTATTTAAGTTATTGGTATTCCTCAATTATAAAAATACTAAAATAAAATATTATATTAATAAAATTTTACATGTGTCCCTTGCTATTGGCTAAAATAAATTCTAGTCCAACACCTGGAATTTGCAAACGAAACATGATTATTTTATTCTTATATTTCACATGCCGGATGAGAAACCGACGAAAATTAACATACTTGAATTGAATCCTAAAAAAAACTCGATCAGGTCTTTTGAAGAAGAGCTCTCTGGTTTTCAAGATACTCAACAAACTGATCTAAATATCTGTCTTGTCGATTCTTGTCTTTGAATATCTCACTTATTTCCTTTGCGTTATTCCTGTAAGCTCTTCCCTCGCCGTCAAAGTCCATCACCAACCTCAGTGTCTCAGCCACCGAATTCCTTGTAAACGACCCATCTTCGTTTCTCTGTACTTCTCTTCCCACCTTCTTCTCCACAAGAACCAGAGCATTTAACCCTTGATCCACCAAGAATGGCAACATAATCAGTGGGTGCCCTAATGTCAAGCCTTCTATAGTTGAGCTCCAACCACAGTGAGTCAAGAAACCACCAACCGAGTCATGAGACAGTATCCTGAGTTGAGGCGCCCAGCTCGTCCAAACGAGCCCACGACCTTTGATTCTCTCCAGGAACCCCTGTGGCAGTTCCACCGAGTCAGACTTGGTCGACCCAGGTGGCTTCCTTAAAGCCCAAAAGAAAGGCAACCCAGAAAGCTCCAACCCGAGAGCCAACTCAGTGACGTCGTTTTGACTCAGTGTCGCTTCGCTCCCCAATGCAACGTAAACCACAGAGCTTTTGTTTTTGCCGTCAAGCCACTCTCTGATAGAAACCCATGTCTCATCTTTGTCAGCGCCGTAATTTTGTGCCGGCGGGGGCATGAAGCCCACCGGAATTACAGGCTTTTGGTGAAGCTCTTCGAGGAGGTTCAACCAAAGAGGTTCGAGTTCGTTACAGTCTCGTATAAAAATGGCGTCAGACCCCATAATCACATAGCCCAAACGATACGTATCGGAAAACCCAGAAGCGTTTATGTTTATTGTGCTACGAATCCAATTGATCTCGTAGTGCCGATACGCAAGGTTCGTGGGAAAAGGGATCCACTCCGGCGGCACGACAAAATGCTCCGGCGCTGTCCTTGGATCAGAACCGTCAACCATGGCCGAAACTGATGGTCCAAGCGTAGATATAAACCAGGCGTTGAAGATGCTGAAGAAAGCGCGTGAAACTCCAAGCTTTGCCGCGATTGGGGGTAACCAGTGAGGAGCAAAGTCATATATAATCCAATCTGCAGATGAGTTCTGTAAAAACTCAGACAGACCAGCTTCGAGACCGTCGAAGGCCTTCTTGAGGTAGGGCATATCTTCTGTACGGACGTCCATGGTGGCCTCTGCATTTTCAGGGAGGTTAGGGACGAGAGGTAAAGGAATCTTTACTAGGTTTATGAGAGAGGCGAAGTTTGGAGGCAGTTTTGGGAGCCGTTGGATGTTTTTAGGGGTTGATACGAAGGAGACTCTGTGACCCTTTTGGGCTATGACCTTGGAGAGCTCTAAGAAAGGGATCATGTGACCAAAAGCTACCCATGGAAACATCACTACGTGTAGCTTACTTTCGCTGGCCATGGACGTGGGGAGGTGGAGTGGAGAAGCTATGCCTATGACTGTTGTGAATTGTAAGAGACGCTCAGTTTACTAGTTCAACAATTCATACATGTAACCATTGATATAGCATAGAGCTTGAAGTCAAAAAGACAGAGGCGAGGTTAGCGTTACAAATACGATACCTAATTTGTTTGAAACTAAAAAGTCAATATAATTTGTTGGAGTAATGGTCTTACCCCTTAATAAATTGACATAATGATTTAACATTGTTATAGTAAAATATTATTCAAGGAATGCTATTGAAATTTAATTTATTAACATAATACACTATAAAGTTTGAATTAATTATGATACTCATTAAACATTATAATTTAGTATTAATACAATAATTTTAATAAAATTATATCTTGTATAAATAAGTTAGATGATATTATTAGGTCTAAATAACATTACTCATAATATTCCTATGATTTAACTGTTGAAATATTTAATTTAGACTTTTTCACTTGAAACATTATTATGTAGTTAAATTAGGTCAATTTTTAAAAGAACAATTGCATTGTATTAGGTACATGATTAAGTTCTCAAATTGAGTACCTATAGGATTACTTTTATTTTTTTTTGGAAAAATAGATCCTCAATGTTGCGCGATGACGTGTCAAGTAACTTTTGTTTAAATAAAATATTTAATAATTGTAGTTAAAATAATAAGCAATGCTATAAAACCTAAATAAAATCTAAAAAATCACAACCCATTGTCAACTCTTGGATGAATGAGTCCCGTCAATTTTTTTAATGGAGCCCACTCTTCTTACACTCATACAAGAGATTATATGTATTTGAGTTTTAACTTTTGTTTTTCATTTGGGTCATGTGACATTTTTCTAAAATAATATTCTAAGCAATACAATTGGGACAATCTAACTTAATTTATTAATCTAATAATGTGTTAAGTGATTAAATTTTAATAAAAAAATGGGTTACATTAATATTATTGAATTTATCACCACCATGTCATTAATTCTTCAACAAATTAAATTAATTTTTTATTTCAAAATAACGTTAATATTTTTTCACTGTAAATGTTAATCAACAAATGAGATCATTTCCTTGAGACATTATAATGTCGTTTCTACCCAAAAAGTATTTTTTGGTCTTCTAACTCCACTTTTTTATGATCATAACATGACGCTTGCCAAATCTTTGTATTTTGTTGTCTCATCTAATTCTTTTCATTGAGTAATGCTAAAAGAACCTAATTTAAAATTTTAATTTAGTATACATATATATAAATGAGTTAATTGATTCTTTTTATGAATCAAATTTTCTTTTATTTGATTTATCATCTTTACTTGTGGTGGGGTTATAAACTCAAATAATACCTTTTGATCCCTTAAGTTTGTCAAAATCCCTTTGGAGTCTATTCTTTCTATCGGTTCAATCATAGATAAAAATGGTGTTCCCAAGATTACTAATTAATTTAAATTTTCTATTAGCATAAAATTAGAAGGTATACAAATTCCTTGATTACATATATAAACATCTGAAAGTTTAAATTTTATATTTAATTTAGATCCATCAACCGTACTTAATGTCAGGACTGTTTTTCTCAAAATATTTTGTAGGAATTAATCCCTCTCTAATACAATTTATATCTGCTCCACTGTCAATTAATGCAATGGTTTCAACGGTTATTTTTTGATTAATTTCAAGTTTGATTTTAACATACTATTTTTGAAAGGTTATTTTTTCTAATTCATTTAAATATTTGGGAGAAGAGTATATTTCTTTTGTGTCTTCTTCCTTTATTGGCATTTTTTCTAAAACTAAAAGCCTTTGTTTTATTATTTTTATTTCAACTTTAAGTTGATTAATTTCTGCTTTAAGGTCTTGCATTGAAGATCTTTCTCATCAATTATTATATTTTCTGTTCTATTAAGAACTTCTTTTAGAGAATAAGGTTGAGTAAGAGAATGTTTCTTCTCTTTTGGGGTTATTTCCAAATACTGTTCAATATCCTTTCTTTTAAATACTGAATCTTGAATTAATGTTTGTTATTTAGTCAAAGTGTTTGAACTTAATCCATCTATTAATCTGATTAAATTTTTTGGACTTATCTTAATTTTATCTCTTTCTGGATTAATTTCATCAAGTGATGTTATAGAAAAATTATTTAAACATTTCTTTTTAACAACTAATTTATCAGAATATTCATTCTTATACAAAATAACCTTATAATAATTAACCAGTGCTTGACCAGCTTTACCTTGTCCTATGTGTTCTTTATTGAAAAATGATTCACTTATTTCATCAATTTTATTAGTAGTACAGGAGTCACCCTAAAAAAAATGAAGTAGTTACAGAATCTTCCCCTGCACTTTCTGAAGTTAAAATCTGATCTTTAAGATTTTCATCAATTATTAATTCATCTATTTATTGTTTAGTTAAACATTTTTATCACTTGTTAAAGTTTTAGTTTCTTGGATATCTATAGCTTTAGAATATTTCTCATTAAAGTGTAGAGTTGTTACTCCCGAATTTTCCACCTAATATGTGGAGGTTAAAGTTTCTTTAAAGATTGATTAAGAGGTAGAGAATCTCCAAACTGTGGGATTTCAATTTCAGATTGCTCTACACTTTCTTCTTTAGAAATTACATTTAATGGCAAATTTTTTAATCTTTTATTAAGTTCATTTATGAACTAAATTTCTTCAATATCGGGAAGATTAGCAACAATTGTGTTAGTTAATGAATATTTTTGAATTCCATTTAACTGATTTATCTGATAAAATTCTGTATTTGGGTGGAAGGCCATACTAATTGTTCTTTAGAAAGTTTTCTGTTGACCTATATGCTTCACTATTACCTTCATGTTGCTATAATAATTCGTCTTTTAATTTTGCTACAGTAATGCTAATTTGACTGTTGCTATAATAATTCTACTATAGTAATTTTTTTTCCAATTTCCTACTATTTCTGTCAACGATTTATAGGGAACACAAACGGCTTCACTCTTATCACTCGGACAAACGACCTAACATCCCACACCCAACTTGGGTGCAGAACCATAGGAACAAAAGAAAATAATTATAACAGAATTAATATAACAAATTCAAAATAACATTAGTCTAACAGAATTAAATCACAATTACCTAAGCAACAAGAATCAGTAATAGATCTGCATATAAATCAACATAATAAATTTAAACTGTTATAATTGGTACTGTAACTTGCTCTGATACCATAACTAGCAGGATCGTATGCAATAAGATATAAAAGAGAAAGATTTTATTTATATATAAAGGAAAAGTAGTACAATAGCAAGGAAACTTACAGAGACTTTTTACAAGGGGATGATTGCACTAGGAGAATATTTACAAGGCTTATGGACAAGGGAGAATGAAGGGGGTGCAAGACTAAAGGTGGGAGCTATTGTAAACCCCTATATTTTTATATTAATATATTGATGTAATTATTTAGTAATTATTATATATGTAATGACGTAAGAATGAACTATATAGATTGTAATGGTAAAAATAAATACTTGGGAGACAAATTGATTAAGAAGTGTAAAGTTTTAAAGGTGTTTAAGCTTGGGAAAGGTGGTTAGGTAAGTTTTTAAATATTTTTAGGTCAAAATAATATTTTCACTGAATTTGGAAGGTCGATAAACCTTGGGAGAGGTAACATGAGGTGTATTAGAAGGTAGAAAGTATTCTAGCGTTAAAACACATTTTAGAAAGAAATCGGATAAGAAGGAATTTGACACTCCCTTAGTATTTTGACCATAACGTTTTAATCCTAACTCCGATTGAGCTGACTTTTTGGAAAGTACAAGTTAGACTTCAAGGGCTACAAAAATGTATTTCACGAAAATTTCTTGAATCGACTTCTAAATAGGTAAAAATAAAGTTGTCTCCGTCTGGATGCTCCAAGCATCGTCCGAATGGTACTTCTTACCCAAAAACTTTATTTTTCATAAAAAAATAGTGAGTTTGAACCATCTGGACGCTCAAGGACGGTTTGGACACTACCCTAAAAAGGCCCCGATCAGTTTTAGTATTTTTCTCCATTTTTCACCCTATAAATACCATAAGGATGCCTCTTTAGATATTTTTCATCAGTTTTCAACCCTAGGCAACCCTAGAGAGTGTGAGAGAGGAGAAACACAAGACTCATAGGGATTCTCACATTGAAACGGATCAAACATGCTAGGTTTACACACAAACTACAGAATTGAGGTAGGGGATTCTTCTTGAGTTCTTTCATTGAGACTTAGGGTATTATATATGTATGTTTTCAATTTTCTTGATAATTATATGATAATTATGTATGAATTTTTGGTTTCTTTATCATTGAAACATGATCTTAAACAAAATACATGCTTGGGTTCGAAGGAATACTTGTTCTTGAATTTTCGAAACGCTAGTTTTTCTAAGAAATATGTTCTATTGTGAAATTCATATGGATTCTTGATTTCTAAATTCGTATTCTTGATTAAATCATGTTTTCATCTAATATTTGTTCTTGTTCCAAGAAATTATTATTTTTGGCTAAATTCTAGAATTTTGATATCGAAATTGTGAATGTTTTCTTGAGATGATCTCTTGCATATTTTAATTTCTTTAGTAATGTAGTATATTGAGAATTGTGCACTTGTGATATTTGAACTGTTAATAAAAATGGTGATTGGTTAAGATTGTGATTTTTGAAAAAGTTTTGGTTTTATCTCTTGTATGGTTTGTTGTGATGGACTTGAATTGCCTTTGATAGCTGCCGTAGAGTGTTAGAGGTTAGTCTATCCCAGTGGGAGTGAGATGGTTATCTAACACTTGTAGTGGATTGTTGTTTGTGAGAGCAACCACTATTGTTTACGTAAGTTCGAGGCTAAGGGATGGTACACTTTTCCTGGGAAGGATTTGTCAATGCTGTGGGAGACGGTATACGCCCTTTCTAAAGTGTTTGTGATGTGCCCTATGGAGAATGCTTGAGATTGTGTGGTTGTGATGGGTGAAAGAGGT